GCCCATTGCTGCACCCCACAGGGAGCCCTTGGTGACGTGGGCTGTGCATCTGCCATGCTGGCACTGAGAGCACCATGAGCCCTGCCAAAGCACCTGGATCCAGGCACAGGCAATCATGGAATCGTTAAGGTTGGAAAAGACCTTTAAGAAAATTGAATCCAACCATCAACCCTACATCACCATGTTAACCATTGAACCATGTCCCCATGTACCACATCCACACAGTTTTTGAACATTTCCAGGGATGGTGACTCCACCACTTCCCTGGGCATCCTGTTCCAATGCTTTACAACTCCTTCCATGATTTATTTTTTTCCTAATATCCAATCTAAACCTCCCCTGGCAAAACTTGAGGTTATTTTTGCTCGCTCTTGTCACTTGTTACCCGAGAGAAGAGACCAACTCCCACCCCAGTACAACCTCTTTTCAGGGAGCTGTAGGGAGCGATAAGGTCTACCCTCGGGGAAGGCAGATCTACAATCAGTAGCGACACCCATGGGTGGGAAAGGTCTTTTCCTGTTCCCAGACCTCAACCCCGAGCGCTGCAGGGACCTTCGGCACGGCGGGGTGGGGAGCGGCACCCTGAGGGAGAGCAAAGGTGAGATCCAGGTGAGCCAGAGCCCTGCACCACCACCCACGCTCCAGAGGCAGAAGGTGGCGATCGCCCAGCTAAACCCTCCGCACCCCTGAGCACCTTTCAAATTAAAAACGCACCCAGGGAACACCCCTGGGACTCTGCACGCAGCTGCCCGGGTCACCCAGAGCCCTGCCGAGGTCTGGGGCAGCAGCCCCTCCCCTGCTCACCCCCCCGGCTTTCCTGCTGCCTCCAGTTTAATCATTGCCCGGCTGTCTGGCAGGCTCTGCCCGGCCTCTCCCGGCGTGTTTGCCATCGCCCCGGGGTTAGGCAGAGCGAAGGGCAGCGATGACACACGGCAGATGCTGCACCCTGCCAGTGCCCTGCCCGGGCCCTCACCCCTCTGCCCCCCTGCCCACAGCAGCCCCTCAGCCCCGGGGCTCTGCCCAAGGAGCCCAGCACCCCTCGGGGACGGTTTTCGCTCCCCAGACCGTGCGTGTTGAGCACGTCAGAGCCCCGGGACCCCGGGCAGCCTCTGCGGGCTCAGCCGAGCCACAGCGGTGACGTGGCCCCCGCCCAGCCACGCCCGGGTGGGCTCCAGAGCCGGGCAGGGCTGGCGGCGGGGCACGAAAGCAAACAAGGGGTGGATCTGCCCGTCCCCGAGCCAGCACTGCCGCGCTCCGGGCAGGGTGAACAAGAGAGCTCCTTGTGCAGGGCTGGCACCGCGGGGCCGTGTCCCTGCCAGCCTCCACCTGCGAACCACAACCCCCCCGGCCACACGCCGGAGTGGGACCTGGGCCAAGCAGGGCTGCCAGGGCAGGGGGTAAACTGGCAGGGCCAAACCTCTGCCAAGCCACTGCCATCCCAGCCCAGCATATCCCACAGCGGTGGGATTTCAGGGTTAGTGGGCTTCCAGGCAGTGGTGTGCTCCTGCTTGTGCTGGGCTCCCAGTGCTGGTGGACTCCAAGTAGTGGTGAGTTCCAAGCAGTGGGGGGCTCCCAGTGTTAATGGACTCCCACGGGGTTACAGCCAGCCAGAGCAGTGCCCCTAAGCCCACCTAGCTGCCCCAGCCAGGAACTTACCCCTTCCCCAGTCCCTCCCAGACTCCTGCACTCTTTCCAAAAGACAGGACAACCGTCCAGCTTAGCAGGGCTGGACTGAGCACCAGCCAGTGTCTCTAGGTGGGCAGGAGCAGGCTGTACCTGAGCAGTGTTGGATCCCAACTGGCAGCAGGGTGGCAGCCAGCCAAAGAGCTCAGCCTGACACTACCATTGCCACGAGTCAGCACTGCAACAGTTAAGCCTGGTTTGGAGGCTTTTGCACTGCCCTGACACAGCCTGCCAGGAGAAGCAAGAAGTAACACGGGAATCCCGGAAAACGCAGGGTGGAGGGAAGAGGCACACTTTGTCAGGGGAGAAGATGACTGTAACTTTATTTGCAGCACCCTGAAGTCATCTGCTAACACAGGCACCCTTCCCAAGCCCCTGCTCCCGCAGACCAGGCAGTTCTGCAGCAGCTGCGGTGCTTGTGCTGCTGCTGCGTGGCAGCGCCACTCCCCCTGGGATGCCAACACCACGGAGGGATTCCAGCACCACGGAGGGACGTCAACACCATGGCGGGACGTCAGCACAAAGGCAGGCTTGTTCCAGGTCGATGGTGCCAGACCCAGATGACTCCCAGCCTGGAGCCGCCCCAGGATGTTGTGAAGAGCCAGACGGTTTCTCGCTCGCCTTTCGCCGGGTCCAGGGGCTGCAGAAGGCAAAAGCTGAGGATCTGCACCACCAGCAAGGTGCCCCCCAGTGCCACCCTGCTGCTGGATCTGGGCTAGCCCTCTGCACTGGAGCCAGTCCCAGTGCTCTGGGATGGAGATGGTGTGGGCAGTTGTGTCCAGTGCCCTTAACCCTGGCAGGAGGAACCGAATGGGGCTGGGGGTTTCCCAGCACTGGGATGTTAATGCTCCCATCCATGCTGTGCTACCCGGTGCTGCCCTGGGGCATGGCCTGGCACTCTGCCATGCTTTGGCTGCCTGTCTTTCCTGCCTCCTTCCCTCTGTCCCGGGGTAGTGTGATGAGGAGGAGCAGGACCCAGCTGAAGCTGGAGCTGTAGCTTGGCACAGGGCGCTGTAGCATCCCCATGATTCTGGGTGTTCGGAGAATGACTCAGTTCCGGGGAGGTGGGTCCCCATAGCAGCTGGAGGCATGTCCCTGGCTTCTTTCCACTGCTCCAAGGTAGTCATGATGTCCTCCTCTGCCATGCACACAGGACTGCCATTATCCAAACCTATCCATTGGCATGCAGGCAGTGCCTGCACCTTCCCAGAGGTGGAGATTTCCCAGCCTGGGGAGACTGGCAGGGGCAGCGTACAGGATTACAGGCTCAAAGTTCTGCCCCGTCCCCAGTACAGGCACTTCTTGGTGGTGTCTGCCCTGGCACACATCATCCCCAGGGCTCCTGGGCCCCACACTGGGCTCTCAGGACCTGGCAGGTGCCCATCACCAGATTATCTGGCTGAAGAGCTCACAGGTGAAAAGCAATGTCAGAGTCCAACCAGTGCCAGGTCCCAGCTGCCAGCTCTGCCAGGTGCCAGGGGCAGCTCCCTGGGGTGCCCAGGCCAGCAGCCTTGTCCCCGTGGGATCACCAGGCCTCCTCCCATGGTCAGCATGACCCACGGGTGCAGGGAAGGCCCTTAGGAGACGACACAGCAGCACTTTGGGCAGCAGGGGCACCACCTGCAGCAGCCACATCGCCTGCCAGCCCCCTGCTCCTGAGCCCTGGGGGGCTCCTCCAGGGTGACGGTGTAGAAGGAGGCAGACGATTCACCATTGGGCATCTTCAGGCTGGCATAGGGGTTGTAGGGACGGGACCAGGACTTATCTGTGGAGATGGTTGGGCTGTTCCAGCCATTAGCAGAGTCTGCCTTCTCCTCCATGCCATAGGTGGGCACTGCTGCAGGGTTGGCAATGATGGTGGGCTCATCCTTCAGGTAACGAGTGATAAAGCTTTGCTGGAACTGTTCCCGTGGAATGTTGACACTGGCATAGGGGTTCTCCAGGCTGATGCCTCGATCCATCTCCCTGCTCCTCATCAGCACACGCAGCCTGTCTGGCACTGCCCACCTCCTGCGAGGCAGAGACTCTGTTAACCCAGGGTGTGGGGTGTCACTGCTGGGGTTGTTCTCACATCATGCAGAAGGGACCCCTAGCAGACCTCAATGGTTGGGGTGCAGACCCTGCTCCCCCCTCCTCCCCATCCCCAGAGGACCCTGACATGCAGCACTTGGGCCAAGTGGCCCTGTTGGAAAAGCTGAGAGAGGAGGCAGGAGAGGGTGGAGCAGGGAGCCAAGGGGGTGAGCAGGGTGCTGGGGGGCAGAAGGGGGTGCTGGGTGGGAGACAGTGTGCAGGTAGGGCAGTGGGGTGGGGTACGAAATTGGGGCGGGGGGGCGGAGACAGGTCTCAGAGGTGGAACGAGGAGAGAGGAGAAAGGGGGTGCAGGAGGGTGGAGAGACAGAGAGGGAAGAAAGAGGGGACAGGACAGGGGGAGTAGAGAGTGGAGCTGGGGACGCGACAGGCGGGGGGAGATGRGGAACTGGGGCAGGACGGGGGCAGGGGAAGAAGGGGGGCAGGCAGGGGAAGGGGGAACAGGCAGGGAGCAGGCAGGACACAGGCAGGGTGAGGGCAGCACTCGCCCCCGGCACTCACCGACCTCGCGGCTCCGGCCGCTGCGGGGCCGCTCTGCCCCGGCTGCGCTTCCTCCTGCACGGACCGCCCCGAGCGGCGCCGCCCCGACCGACCGACAGACAGACAGACAGACAGAGAGCGGCCCCGAGCGACCGTCACCCAACACCCAGCGCCGAGCGACCGACACCCACCCACTGGCATCCCCCGCCCCAGCACCCACCCACCAGCCCGGCCCACACCGAAACTACACACTGGGCAAGGGCCACAAGGATCTGGGCACCAGTACCAGGCACTGGACACTGGGTACTGGACAGGGACATTGGTCAGGGGGCACTGGGCACTGGATAATGGGAGTTGGACACTGGACAGAGGCACTGGGCACCAGACAAGGCCACCAGTACTGAGCGTTGTGCGCCAAGCACCAGCACTAGTCACTGGTACCAGGCACTGGGCACTGGCATTAGGCAGTGAATACCAGCACCAGCATAGAACTGGTTTGGGGCACTTGCACCAGCACCACGCAGTGTGCAGTGAACACCACACAGCAGGCAGTGCCATCATGCACCATCACCACTGCCAGGACTGGGCACTGACACCAGAACAGGCACCAGAACCATCCCCTGGCACCAGCACTGTGTGCCATGTGCTGGGCATTGAGCTCCAGCACTGGCACCACATTGGTGCTGGGCAGCAGGCAGGGATGGAAGGGGAGGCACTGCACATCAGGGGTCTGTAGGAACCAGCAAACCCCAAACACCAGGCACTGGGCAGAGGGCACTGAGCACCATGCACACACAGGTCCTGAGCACTGGGCAGGGGACACCAGGCACCTGCACCTACTGCACCCTCTGAAGCCCCCAGACTCCCTGTCAGGCTCTGCTTGTCCCCATGGGCATCCAGGCCCCTGCAGCCCAGTGGTCCCACACACCCTTCCTGGCTGTGTCTGACCTCTCCAGCCCTGAGCTCCCCAATGCCAGGTCTCCACTGGGGTCCTCATCCCTCCAGTGGATCTTGGCTGTGGTGTGACCATGTGCCCACCAACACAGCCTTTTCCAGGACAGGTTTTGGGGATCACCCTGTGCCTGCCCCCACAGCGCCATTGCAAGGTGACACACACGGAGCTGGATGGAGGGAGGGACACAGCTGGTGCTGGGGCAAAGAGGGGGATGTTGGCACATGTACCAGTTCCTGGGACCACAAGTGCTGCATGAGAAAAGATGCAAAGTTTCAGCACCCTCCACCCTACTCCACCCTGTCCCTGCCATGTGACACTTCTGTCTGACTCTGCACTGTCACTCTTCCCACCACCACACCCCCCAAACTGGCTTGTGCAGAGCCCCAACATCTTCCCACAGGCAGTTCTGTGCAGAACCCTGTCCCTTCCAGGAGCATCAGGGATGCCAGGACAGCATCCTCCTGGACAGCCTGGGGATGGGTGCTGGGCAGAGGATGCCCCAAATTGCAGCTGAATCCTCCTGGGACTGAATTACGCTTCCCACAGCACTTTGCAAAGGGAAAATCATCATCACAGCACACAGCTCTTGGGTTTGAAAGCTGCAGAACTTCTGCACAGACACCTCAGGGCTTCTCTGCCCCCACAGGGTCCCCTGGAGGAGATCCACCAGCAGCCCCTATCCCTTTGCTGGATCTCACTGCTGTCTCCAGAGAAAAACTCGTCTGTTTGGCTAAGCAGGCGTAGAAAAAGAGATATCCTCCACCCAGGCGTCCTGCCGTAACCCCAGCCCGCCCTGCCTGTCCGCGCCCGGCGTGTCCCTGCTCGCTCGGGGGATGTCGCTGTGGCGCTCTCCAGCAGCACATTTCCTGACCTCTCAGTGCTCAGGACTTGCTCATTCTGGCTTTCGTCCCCAGATTTCCGTGCGCAGCTCTGTTCCTAAGCGGCTCTGCTTGCAGGGAGCTGCAAGGCTGCACATCAGGCACAGCTCAGGTCTGGGGGGGACTCTGAGACCCTGCAACCCGGTGTCCTCAGCGCCTTCCCTCTCCCGAAGAGGTTCCAAAGAGAAGCTCACCACATTAGAACCTCGGAGCGTTTTTGGGTGGGGACATCCCACACGCGCTGCCCGGGGCTGCAGACCCCACACAGCCCCTCGGAGCAGAGTGTCAGCTGTAATCTGAAGTGCCTGCCTCCCGGTGATGTGTCTCTCGGCATCCAGCCGTGGTAGCTCCCATCTCACAGACACCTCCTGGATACTCTCATTCCTCACAGGCTCCGGCTCCAGTTCTACAGCGGCTGGGCTGGCTCAGTCTTGTCTTGGGAAAGCCCTTCCAGTCTCTGCTGCTGCTCTCCTGGTCTGGATTTGGCCATCTTCTCATTTCAAGCCTCAATTTCCTGATGGAAAACATGTTCCTGTACCAACAGTGTCTTTAATAGCTCCTTTCCTCTTGACCGTGGGCACAGTGGTGCCATTCCTGGAATGCTCCTGACAGCCCCGCTGGTGGGGATGGGTTAACCCCAGACCTCTGGCAAGGAGAGGGAACAGGAGTGGTTGCATCATCTGTGGACCCTATAAGGTCCCTGCCAGGCCAAAGTGGCCACCATGGCACCTGGAGAAGGGACCCTGGCCACTTGGGTCATTGGCACCAGTCATTTAGGTGCTGCTGTCAGACGGGACACATCCAGCCCAGCCTCTCTCATGTGTGGGGCAGGAGGCTCCACTGGGGTTCCTCCTCCACAAATGAGTGTGGGTTTGTCTGTAACAGGAGCTGGAGAGAGGAGGTGGTTGTGGCCAGCAAACACACTCAAGGAGGTTGAGATGCTGGGACTGGATGTCCTGGCTTTTCTGCCAATGCCCCAAGAGCTGTGGCCATCACCATCCCTTGCATTTGTAGAGCATTGCAGCATCAGGCAGACCTGAATCCATACAACTCTGGGCTCCAGGGCTCTTGAGATCACCTCATTGTCCCCTGGGTGGACAGGATGGACAGTCCTGCGGGCGGGAGGTGGCTCAGAGCTCACGTCCCCACTGGTGGGGGATGATGTGCCTCAGCCCCCTCTCCAGGAGTGCTCCAGTCCCCCAAGTTGAGGTAAATAAGTCCTTTAAATATAATGTTATTCCCCAGGAGGGCGATTCAGTGGTGAAAGCCAAAACCTGTCCTTTTCAGCACTGAAAAGCATCATTCCTTGCTCCTTGTCTCTCCATACTGAGAGAGCCATGTAGAGAAGATCAGGCACAGCAGAGTTGTTCGGTGTCTGTCCAGTGCTGGTGATGGGGCAGATCTGCAGCAGTGCAGCCCCAGTAGAGCAGAGTTATCACCAGACAGGAGCAGCAACCCCTAATCTGGAGCCTGAAGTTCAAACATTTCATTTCTTGGTAAGAAATTCTCCAAATTGATCTCCAAGAACGACATCCAGCAGTCTCATGTGGATCCTTGGAGGGTTTGGAGATGATGGAGGATCCTCAGGTCAGAAAAGTTGTTGCACTGAGGCTCAGGTTGCTGGTTTGGAGTTGTCCCACCTGGGATTCACCAAGCTGGGAGCTGGCAGGTGCTTCAGAGCTGTGCTCTCCTTCAGTAAATGGAGGAGCTGAACTATTGTGAGGTTCTTTGTTGCCTAAAATCAGCCTGATTTCCTGCAATAGTTTGTGGGGGGAAAGGAATCTACAGAGAAAAAAACAACCAAAAGCTCAATGCCCACCCTGGAGATATGATGGAGCGGGATGTTCTCAGAGATGCTGCTTCCAGAGGAATGTGCTTGGGCTCCATGCAGCCCAGGTGGCAATCCTGGTGACTTGAGGAGGAGCCTGGGAAAACCAGGAGAAAGAGGAAAAAAGTCAACCTTTGTTTTCCTTTTTTTTTTTTTCTGACTGGCCCATGAGCTCACTTGAAGCCCAAAAATGAAGGGGCAGCCCTGTGGAGGGGGCCAGGACCTGGATTCCCAGTGTGGGCTGCAGGTACTCAGGGGTAGAAGCACCCCCAACCATGGGATGTGCAGCCAGGAGGAAAGGCTGCCTCAGCAATTCCTCAATAGCCATCCATTAAAGTCACAGATCTTTCAGCTGTGCCACAGCAGGGGACCCACAGCCCCTGACCCTGTGTGACCCAGCACAAGCTGTTGGGAGTTTTTCCAGGATACCAGTAACTGCAGGGATCCCATGGCATGTCTCAGCTCACTGGTGTTTCACACACAGCAAAAGGGACATTTCTTTGTTAAAAAAAAAACAAACTCAAAACCAAACAAACCAGAAAGTGCATTCTGCTCCCGGACATTCTTCTGCTGGGGACAGGTATGTGTGGCATCCCGGCGGTGGAGCTTCCCCAGTCCCAGCTCCTCCCAGGGCTCTCTCAGTCACCAGGAATAAAAAACTCACGGACAGGTCGCGTTTGGTAAATATTTCCCAGGGGCTCGTGGGAGCTGCAGTGCCGTGGAGCCGGCACATGAGGGTGGTGATGCTCTTTGCAGCCCGTCAGTAACGGGGGATGATGCAGGATGACGCTTCCTGGAGGGAAAGGATTTGCCGCCAGCTGGGGGGCAGCTCGGTGAGCCCTCCACGCAGATGGAGGCTGCTCAGCAAACCCTGGGGGGCTGAAGACTTCGCTGAA